GGTAGTTTTTTTGACGGGAGCGACCATTTAGAATTATTGAAAGACCAACAAATGAGAATATTAGACAGGCAAATGAGAGAGATAATGATGAGACGGGAAGCACACAAAAACGGACACACATATGCAGTTCATAAGATGGATACAGATACACCACAGCATACAAACGACCAAGCAATACCAGACGAATATGGTTTTTCAACACCACAACAAACGACAAGACAACACGAGGCAATGGTAGATACACAATTACAAGATATAGCAACTGCAACAAAGCGGAGGGCGGAAGAGGTAGGCAGAGCGATGGCATCAAATTTAAGAGATATGGGCGGGACATTATTTCATAGAATGGTGGCAAACAGACAATCAGCACCAACAGAACCACGACAAGCGCCAGCAGGTAGAGCATTAGTAGACGACCAGCAAACGATGCGCGTAGAAGATGTTGAACTATCACCTCGAGCAGTAGATGACAATTTGCACGCGACATCAGTTCAACAAGCAACAGGAGCATCAAGTTCAACAGCCCAACAACCACCACCATTGCCAATGACGCCAGTATTTAAAACAACAATAGATAATACTATTAGTCCCGCTTACTGGAAAGACAACCCTAATTTAACAGTAAATGATATTAAATTTCAGTTTTATTTAAGAGGAATTCAAGTGCCAGAAGAAAGCGAAATACAAGAAGAATTGAAACAAAAGGGAAGAGGCAGGGCGAGAACATACAAAGAATATTTAGTGGATATGATTTTAGACACTATTGATAATGGCGGATGGATAGCAAATTTAAGCAGAGGTAGAATAGAAGAACTCAAGGCAAGTTTTAAGGGTAAAGGTAAGAAATAAAAATATAAAAAATAATAATAATAATGATAATATTAACTAAAAATATACTGAAAAGAAAGAAGCAGAAGTTCAATGATAATTATGATCACGACGACAGTTTTTCAATACATAACCTAACAAAACCAAACACACCAACAACAACACAACCACCGAAAATGATGAAAAAGGGCATACCGAGAGAATTTATTGACATTGCAACCAATACAGATACAATCGCCACAGAAACCAGAGAGACTCAAGAAAAGTTATACAATGATGCAAATCAGCAATTAAATATGACATTCGAAGCGTTTAAGGTAAAGGAAAACCAAGATAATATGTTTAAAATAATGCTTAAACACGTTTGGCACAACACATACAAAAGACATGAGCCAACAAGAGCGCAAGCAACACAAACCCTGAAAAACCAACGCGATGCAATGGTGTCAGCCTTTACTAAAATGCTCGACAACAACAAACCACCAGAACCACCGCCAAAGAAACCACCAGACGAGGAGGACAGCGACGAAGAAGAAAAAAGATTCAATCTGACAAAAATGATAGAAATAATGCTACACAACGGCGCTACAGTAGCAGATATAATATTAAACTTATCACATAGCGCAATTGCAACAACAATAAATATCGCAGATTTAGTTAATCAAATAACAGCAGGAAATGCACAAGGTAGCAGTAGCAATTCATCAAATGAAGCTATTAGTGTTCATAGTTCGCCACCTATTACTGTTCATAGTTCTTCATCTGAAAGTCCAACAGAAATACCAGCACCAACTGAAGACGAAGAAGAAGAAGACGGAGAAGAAAAACAAAAATATAATTTTGAAAAATTAAAATCTAAATAATATTATATATAATGGGTTCAAGTAAATCAAAACCAGTAGAAATTGATGATGAAGAGGCTATTAAAGTAATAAAAGATATAGATGTAAATACGATAAGTGAAATGTCAAGAATTGATATTCTACAAATAAATTCATTGAAAGCAATAATAAATAAATTAGAAAAAGTTAATGAATGTAAAAAAGATAAAACATATTATAAATTTCCTGCCTTAAATTTATGTAGCTATTCTTTATTCTAAATTGATAATATTAACATACATTAATATTATTAATTACTATCATAATCTGTCATTTCACTTTCGGGTAATTTTGTTGAGGCGTTGCTACACATATCATCTATTAAATCTTCTTCATCAACAAAATTATTTTGAAATCTTAATAATTCCTCGTCTGTTGGTCGTCTTTTTAACACTTTATAAAGTTTATGTATCCAAGAATTAGTATGAAAATTGTCATTACCTCTACGATAAAATCCACCACATCTACATAGTTTCATTAGCATATTATTATATTATATTAAATTAGAATATCTTTATTCATCATTTGTAATTTGAAATGCTTGTTCAAAACGGAGAAAAAACATGTCATTCACATTCTTAGCATTCATATTCACGTAGAAGAAACTATAAGGTGCGTCATTCACTGCTTGATGATACATATCTAATAATTGCTGTTTGTCAACAATGGCGCTATTTTCTTCAATAAAACTCATTAATTCACTGGCATTTTTCAACCTAAAAATATATAATGAACTGGCATTTAAACGAATGATAGGCGCCAACACATTATATTTCTGTGTTGAACAAATTACGCTTACTGCATCGTGCCTACCTCTTGTAAATAATCCATGTAATAATTTACTATATCTAACAAATTTAGGATCGTCGGCATGATCGTCTATAACGATTAATATTGAATGTAGTTTCTTTATCTTTTTAGATTTCATATAATTAATTATTTTCTTCTGTCTTTCAATTACATTTTCTAAATCACTTGGATTATAATTATCAAAATAAATTTGTTCTTTTTCATCATCCACGTGCAATTCATCCCTGATATATTTTTTAACTTCTGTAAAGGTTGGGTCATTATGAACGCTGGGGGAAAATATAAATATTCTTGCAAATGAACTTCTATAAGCATTTAAGATAGGGTTCTGAACCAAGACTGTTTTGCCACCTGTCGAACTCGCAACTATAATACTTCTAAATGGTAATTTTGGCACGTGCTCATATTTAGATTGTTTGAATTCATATTCAGTTATGTTTATTGGTTTTATTATTGGAGCATCTGACATAATAAAATAATATTAAAGTTATTTAGAAAATATTTTATATTTATTATTTTATATGAATAAAAGCTATTCGGATTATATTGATATAATAGATGAAGTAGAGAATTTAGAACAAGTTGTTATAACTGATAATAGATGCAAGAAAGTATGCTATTTTGCTTTTAGAAATAATTAAGTTTGTGATACAAAATATCAAAAATAAAAATGTAAATATTAATATAAATGGGAAGAAAGAAAAAGATTAAGACTGAACTAGTTGTTTCTTCAACTGATGAAGAAAAAGAAGAAATTGTTAAAGAAATATCAGTTATTGAGTTTGCTTGTCCAATGTGTAAAAAGATGTTAGAAATGAAGAATGAATTAGAAATACAAAAGGAAACTGTAAATGTTCGTGTATTCCGACAAGTTTCAAACTAAGTAAGAATGATAAGAAAATGAATATTGATAAAACTAAAGACAGTAATGGGGTCGGAACGCTACTCCATCCGATAATGGAGAAAACGAAACACAGGAAACTGTTAAACAAATGATGAAAAATTAGTATTTAAAGAGTAGATTTAACATAATTTAAACATTTAGTTTTAAAAGTTTTATTTTATAATATAATATATATATTTACATGGATGAAGGATTAGAAAAGATGGTTAAAAAACTGAACAAGGTTTTAGAACAGAATAAGAATATTTTAGAAGTCTTACAAGAAATGGAAAAGAAGAAACCATTAACAAACAGTTATCAAAGTAAAGAAGTAGATAGAACCAATGGTGAATATAAAAATACAAGAAATATTTATTTAAACAAACTTAATAACAAAGAAATTAAAGAACCGAAGTCTTCCACTATGACATTTTATCAAATTGACTATGATGAAGATACAGGGATTTATTCTTGATTGAAAACATTTTTCTCTGAAAATCCGTTTAAAGACATATTGGCATAACTAATATTATGAGTTCTACAGATGACGAAGAAGAAACAGGATGCACAATGGTTTATCATTGCAGTAAATGCGACGAAGCAAAGCCAAGAAAGGATTTTCACAAAATGTATGATAGAATTATAATGGAAGAGATATTTTACAAATCATGTAAGGAATGCAGAGACAAAGTAAAAGCAACAAAAGAGTTAAGGAAGGAACAGAAGAAACGAATACAACCCATGGAAATACATAGATTAAAGCCTTTAATACCATAGTTTTACTATACTTATAACATGTAAACATTTATATGTTATAATTATAGTTTAATTTTCCCGTATAAGCCGTGGGGGTGCTTTCCTACATAGGCCTTTCCCATCCGCATATTGCCATCCAATGTCACACAGATTATTTTCAAGATTTGGGTTAACGGTTTTAATTCTCCCTTTTCCATTGGTTAACCATTTTTCGGGGCGAACATAGGGTTCTTTTTTAGACTGTTCGTATTTGTTGGAAATGGGAAAGGGTTGCAGTTTGGATCAAGGGAGAAATTATTGAGATCTTGGGGTTGCGATCTTGGGAATGAAAAAATGTTGGTATGTAGCTTGGATTTTTTTGGTGGGATTTGTTGAGGTGGTATGTAGTTATGATTGTTGTTATTGAATGAGCATAGGGGTGATGTTGAGATGGGGTAAGAAATGAAGAGGGGTATGTGAATATGTGTTTTTTGGTGTTGGATTGGTTGGGTGATTGAATTTGAATGTTGAAAATAGGCTGTTTTAGTGGGCGTATTCAGAATGTGCCCAAAAGTGTGGGGGGGACCCTATGACCGGATGGCAAAATGCGGACGGGAGAGGTCACCTCTAACTCCAGGTAGCTTCCCTATAGCTTTGTGGCTCGTCTTCGTATCTCATTCAACCCCCGGACGTTCTAAGCCAAGGAACCACACCTATAGATTTTGCTTCTGGCCTCCCTATTTCTTGTGGCTCGTTTGTTTCATCTCGAAGTTAGCTCATTCAACCCCTGGACTTTCTACACATAGTCTTTACTTCTTGCCTCCCTATTTCTTGTGGCTCGTGTGTCTCGAAGTCCGTCCGAGGCTGGGCTTGGAGGGTACGGCGCCCCAGATGAAGAGCCCCTTCGGCGTGGAGCACGACGGCAGCGGCAAATCCGCGTCCGGAGCCTCAGAGCCTCGGTCTCTGACTGAGGGCGGAAGCTTTCGTTCTGGCTCACGGTGCCTACTGAGTTTCTGGTATTTTTGTAGGTCTTGGTTGAACCCGAGTCCAGTTTGATCTCAGGGCCTACGATAGTTAATGTAACTTAGGGCGTGTGTGTGTGTGCGTTTTGCCATGTTGCTTACCTTTGGTCAGACAAAGGTGCGCATTGGTTGGCTTGATTTCTCCGGACAGCACGGAGGCAAGAAGACTTCGACTGCCAACATGCGTGATCTGACGGGGTGAGAGGCCCACGCTACTGCGCAAATTGCGACTGGCTGCCTTCGCATGGGATGGACAATTGGCCAACCCATGTTTAACACCGCAGACCCAGTGGGTCCATGTACCTGTTAAGGTAACCAAGGCAACCACCCTGAACCAGCATGAACATAGAGTGCACGCGGATCCCGGACCAAGACACCTGCCCTATTCTTACCTCTTAAAAACACAACTTTTCAACTTTTTGGGGGTAACATGGGCTACATGTCTGTAAAAGATTAACTTCCCCAGGGCTTGGAGTTTTAAGGGGTAAGTATTGATTTGGAGGTGTTCCCCTTCAAAGGTGGCAAAAGGGGACACTCTTTGGGGGGCTTGTGGAACTTGCACATGATCGCCTGAATCTTGCGGAAGGTTCTCCCAGAACTGAACGGGGAGGCGGCTACCAAAGTTACAAAGCACGAAAAGTGGCGTTAGGAAGCTGGCCATTACATGGAGTATGCCTTAAATTAGGGACCCCACAAAATGCCCCCCGCCGCACAGTTGTGGGCTAGTTGGCGTTAACAGGAGGAAGTCAGGCAACATAGTGCCGCCAATACGTCTTCAAAGGTTGTTTCTCGGGGGGCTTTGGGTATGTTCCCTGATCAGTTTGTGGTGTAAATTGGTGATTTGAAGTTTTGAAACCGTGGTTCTTGTAGAGGGTAATTCAAGGGGAAACTACCCCCACAGCTCCAGACCGCCAAGCCACCAATCCAAACCACCGTTTTGAGGGACGCTGACCTGAAATATATTCTTTGCACATCCGGGTGCTTTTTTCACTCCTTAGACTCCTTGATCGATCGGGACGCGGCTTTTGCCAGGCCTATCTCCGCCTTGGGCAACTACAAGCCAAGACCTCAATCGAGTTCGAGCGGTTGCTGATCAAGCCCTGAAAGTTGGACACCCTAAGGGTCCCCTTTGATTTTGGGCCCTCAACACTGGTTGAACAACCAAGGGCTGAGGAGGTTTCCAAGGGCCCCTGAGGAATTGGGTGGGGTTCTCCGTTGGTTCTGGCCCGGGGGTCTGCGTTGGAGAGTGGCCTGGGCGATTGGCACAAGGTCCTCTTATTTTCCCTGCGCTTGGGGCCAAGGCCCCAAGACAGAAAATTGGGGTAGCGCAGGTTGGTCCATGGGGCCCAGAAGGATGAACTGTTCTCACGAAGTGCTGGAGCGACCGAAGCGGATTTTGCATGGAGCAACCTTGTTCGATGTGATCTGCAGGGTAAAACAGCACATCCCAGGTGCACAAAAACGCGTTTGATCACCAATCTTGAGGCGAAACACGAGAGAATAATCCAGTGATGAAGCTAAGGTCTTTCGGGGATCCCTCAAGCCAGGTTGGTCAAATATGGATCCCACGACCAGTGGTTAGACTAGAAAACCGGGGAGCTAGGGAATAAGTCCCCCCGCCGCCCCCGCAGATTATTGCCACACCACACTGTTCCACCAACCGGAGAAAACTGGCTTGTATGTACCTTACTATTTTCCTTATCAGGTTGATCAAAGTGTGGCACACCCGGCGATGCTGAGGCAGTGTGGTCAGGAGGAATGCACTTCCAGTTTTTTGAATTTCTTTTCGGGCTCACCCATGGCGAAGCTAGCTGTTTTCGAGGTTCACGTAGTTTTTCCGGAATTTCACATCAATCCTTCGTAGCTTCAATGTTGCCCCTGCTCAAGAGCATGACTTCATCTTGGCCCGCATGTTGTGTCAACTGATGAACGTGGCAAGTCGCCATAGTGGGCAATTTGACGTGATCCGCCTAGGGTAATGAACCCCTGACCGCTTCCTTGAAATCCACGCCTGCAGGCCCCGTACTCACTTTCTGGGCTTGGACTGTTGAGTGGTACGCACAACTAGGTCCCCCAGTAGTGCCCTTTCTCACCCTTTTTTTCGGTTGGGAGGGTTCCCCTACGAAAATAGACTGCAGAAAAAAGGGTACCCTTATTCTAACCTCTCTACTGGAGGACCTGGACAAAGTTTCAGGACTGAAGGACCCGTTTTCGGAAGGATCCAACCCTTTCCTGACCCATCAGGTATGAAAGGACCCTCATGGGTAGGGGCCCCCAAAAAAAGGGTGGGTTCCCTTGGCTTCCTGCGACACTATGAGAGGGTGCTGGAAAGCGTGATCGACAGGGCACTCCCGCGTGGAAGTAGCATTTGTGCCAAATACGTGGATACCAGGCTGCCAGAGCACTTCGTGCAACTGCTCGCAGGGAATACCCCTGCGAAATTATGAAAAGTGGTTCCCTCACAAGACATGCCGCTTGTGTGTGGTGGGTTTTTAAGACCCCAGAGATGCGATCGTCCATGCGCTTCTGCAGCTGTCCGTAGGTGGAGCACCTACCGCTCGAACAACGCGCTGCAGGCGCCAGAAGGGAACCGGGGGAGGGTGCCTCGCTGGGCGCGGAAAGCAGAGAGAGAGAGAGGAATGCAAAACAGGAGCTCCACTACTTGAAGTGGCAGAAAAGCTTGAATATGTGGTGAGTAGCCATGGTTCTAACCCACCTAGCAAACGTATAATCATCAACAACGCAGAGTAACCACGGTTACTGCCACTTACCTAACGTACCCCATCGCCCCCTTTTAGTGCCATATATGCGTCCTGGTAGCGTCCCTCCAGGGGTCCCTGTGCTTGCCCTTGTTTCTTCCACGCTCACTTGTCTTGATGGTTTCTCAGAAATGAAGGGAGCCCCGTTCCTTTTGGAATGGTCAATTAAAAGTCGGTGTCCTCTGGCAGTTGCCAGACAGGCGTGATGGTTGAAGGTCAAAAAATGGTCGAGGCAGACCACGAGGTGCATTTGCGGGGCTAGGCCACCTTTCGACTTGGAAAACAGCGAGTTTTTCTCCACGAACTCGCGAGATCTTGTCCGTGTAAGGCTGTACGACCAGAAGATGCCGGTTTGTCAGAGAGCCAACTTCCAAGCAACTAAAACCTTCATGTTTGCATGAGGGAATGAGCCCGGCTGAAGCTGTCCCGCCGTCTCTTGTGGTGTGCTTGCAGAACCCCAGGTTGTGGGCTTGTCTCAGCATTGGGGTGCCCCTAAAACAGTTCTTTTCCGTTTGGCTTTCCTCTAAAACCAATCAATCCAAAGAGGTTCCCTCAAACAAAAGACACCCGGTTTGGAAATCATCACTGTTGGAGGGGAAAGCGCAATGATAAATGGGGGTGATGAAAATCCGGGGTTTACATTAGCAGGAAGATGATAATGGTTGGTCAACCGGGATCCAGAAGAACACACCCCACCTGAAACCTACAAAAAAGACAGGTCCCGCTTTGGGTTTTGGGACCATGTTTCCTTATATGATTTAGAGCCATACCGGAAAGAGCTAGACACTGACTAGCAAGAAAGGGACCTTCAAGGGCTGCGATCCTCGGCTTTGCCGCGTCACAAGTGGTGAGTTAAAGGGAAACCACCGGTTCCAATTTCTGTCTTCACCTCCCAGAAACAGAACCGAGGCAATGCCCCCAGTCTGAGTTGGTGTTTCTCAAACGTGATGGATACAAGTATAGTCCCTTTCCTCTTGGCTGTCCTTAAACCGGAAAAAATAGAAAAACAACAACAAAAAAACTCATAATAATAAATAAAGCAAGATCAGGCCTTGGGCGCGCATTTGACCGCTGGGACTCCGGACAGGTGCCGGC